AAAAAAAAAAAACAAACCAAAAAAAAGCCCCAACAAAATTAGTGGTCTTCTTTGGCCAAACAAACAAATTAAACAAAAACAACATCGCGCCTGCCTTTGCCGCGTGGGTTGTGTTTCTGTGATGGCTGAGACCGTGGGGGTCCCCCGGAGATCTCGGGGTGGGTGTGCGTGTGCCAGACCTCACCCAGTCCCACAGAACCCAAACCAAAGCAGACCAAACTCATCCTCTCGCTTTTCCGAAACTTTTCCTTTCTTTCGGCGCACGGAACGCTCTGCAGCGGTTGAGCAGGCAAATGATTTAAGGAAGGCATTGAGCAGAAAAAGAGAAAAAAAAAGCAGGGCAGGAAATAAATCTGCTTTCCGACAGACGTACAAAGGCAAATCTTCCGAGATAGGAGGGAGGAAAGAGATACACGGGAGCAAATGCTAGTCAGAAAGTGTCAGAATGATAAAAAACGCCTCACAAAATCCGATCTAGGTGTTAACGGGGTGAGAGATAAAGCAGATAAAGCTAAATTCATCTGTCTAGCTATCTAATMATTCATCTACTCCACCCTAACCGGCACCTGGACCCGTTAAAAAAATTCGGTTTCTGTGTATCAAAAGCTCAGCTTTATCCGCTCAGAATCCTTTCCCACGCGCTAAAAATTCACCTCCKCTAAATTGATCCGGCTGCTTAAAAGAAATTGGTTTCCAAAACTGCAAACAACGTTATCCTGTATCTAACCCCCATTCCGAAATGTGCTCCAAATCAAAAGCAAACCTTCCTTCTCCCGACGAGCTGAAGAACTGAGGGCTTCCCCATCAGCAGGGAAAGACAAACGGGACCGTGTTTACTATACTTACTTTCCCCCCATACCTCTCTCCCTGGCATACAAAGCTGTCTGTTGGTCTTTCCAAAAAGATGTAGCGGTCAAAAGCTTGGGATGGGGGAAAAAAATCAACCCGAAGTTTGTAAAATTAGCAAGGTTTATTTTCTTCCCTTAACGAAAAATAGAATCCAAACAATCTTTTCATATAAGGGGGAAAAAAAAAAATATTTCTTTTTAATTTTTTTCCCCGTGAGGAAAATAAACCAAACAACAAAGAATGTTATCTTTTATRCCTCAGATGAGGAAACCCTAACTGTTTAAACCTAGTTTTCTCCACTAAAATTCACTATATAATTTTATCTTCTCTGGCCATTTTTTTTGTTTACATTTTTCACAAGGACCTCCTTATGTTACCCCCCTCAAAAAAAAAAAAAAAAAAAAATCTGCCATTCACTGCTCAACCCCAACTAAAACCTATTTACTCCTTTTTATAACCACGTCTGCTGCTGATTTTTTTGTATCTGTACAAATTTTTTTTCTTTGGCAGGCACAAAGCCTTGTATTTTTCAAAAGAGGGGATTAGGAACGTTTGCAAGACAGCAGACAATGCCTAAGTCCCGGGCAAAAAAGCACCATAGTTTATCCAATTTTCGACTTAGTGCCATTCAACTGGTCATTTATGCAATGTCATCCGACCAAACAACATGTTTCCCTTTAAAAAAAAAAAAAAAAAAAAAAAAAAAAAAAAAAAAAAGGTTGGTTAAGCTGCTAGAGGCACAGTCTCTTTTTATTTATTTAACGAAGAAGAAAATCAACAGCTTTCCTTTGGAAAATATTAATTTTTCGATCACCATTTATTATCAACTAAAATACTTAAGTGTTTATACATAATCTTTTCTTTATTCCTCCTCCTCCCTCTTTTTCCGAACACAAGAGGGAGCGTGCAGAGGTATCAAAAAGCTTGAGCGGTGAGAAGTTGAAAATATTAATATTTGTCATTAGGACTTAGATGATTCAGAACAAAGTTGGACTCTCGTGAATATCACTGCGGGTTTAGGGRGAAGCGCTTTGGTAGACAGCAGAAACAGGACTGCACAGAAATACTTTTAAACCAAAATTGTTGTCTAACCAGTCTTCCCCTTTCTCCTTAGTCTTTCTTTTTCAAACGTTCATCAGCATATGCCTCATTTCAAATGCAACAAATGTAAATATACTTTTCCCTGCACAGAATTTTAAGTGAATGTCCAATAGTTTCGAGGGCGGTTTAAGTCAGCCTAACAGATGCAAACAGTCTTGGAGCTGGAGTGGCATCTTTCAGTGCCCTAAAAAGATTTTCCATGGGCAACAAAGAAAACTGTCACACCTTTTCCCATCACCGCTTTAATTTATGCTCAGTCGCCAAGTTTTTTTCATATTGATTTCATAATCACTTTAAGGCAGAACACTTAAAATAAAAAAGGGCCTTGAAAAGGAAGGTCTTACAGGGCCAGCGCCAATATGGTGAAAGTGGGGGAGAGAGCCAGGACTGTAAAGATTGTTTTGTAAAGTGGGGTTTTTATTATGCACCGACTCTCTCCGCATTTACTTAACTCTTCACGGGCTGTTGAATAGGTTAACACCCTTAAAGGCCTCTTTCATGTCCAATACCTCGTTTGTTTGTAGAGGAAAATGCGTCTTTAACACATTTCCACTGGGCAAAGATTTAGGTTTGGTTTGTTGTGTTTTTTTAACCCCAACATAAGGAAAAACCCAAAGAAAACCCAACCCTTTCAAGTCTTTTATCACTCCAATAAAAATATTTATTAAGGAGGGCGAAGATCCCCAAATAATCAGCCTTGTAACAGGAGAATAAAGAAGTGAGATCTCTTCGGACGCGCACCAGAAGCCCTAGGCAGGTTTTTTGATGGTTCTTCACCCCACGCTCACACATGGGTGCCTGTGTGTGTGCGCACACAGATGCATATTCATCCCCACCTATGTGCGGACACACGCATTGTTAGAGCACCCTCGCCACTCTGTGGAGCCGGCAAAGCCCAATAGGTCATCTGTTGTTTGTGCTCTTTGTCTACTTCTGTGCACACTTTAGAAATCGCTACGTGCGTGTCGCAAAACATATCTGTGAGTTCAGCTGTGTGCCCGAATATAAATGTGCCGCTAAACACACGAAAAACCTAACGTAGGTTTTTACCTTTTTGCCCGCAATTGAAGAGCGCGAACACACTTCTCTCAAAAGTACTTGTTTGTCTGTCTATCCTGCCGTGTAAYTGCCGGTCTAAGTTCCCAGTTCGGGATTAATTCGTGTTTAAATGGCAATGAAAGGAAAATTATTCTGCGTTTGGTGGGGTAGGGGCAGATGGCMGGATGGAGGGTGGATTTCACTTGGGTTCGCTGAGAGTAACTGTGTTTTTCCAGTTCACCTTAACTATCGTTCCTGAGCGAGTCATGTAACAAAGCAAAAGCTGTGTGATCCCTCTGTGGGCTTCTGTGTCTGATTTCTTTCTTTCCTTTCTTTCCTCGTTTTCCCCTCATTACTTAAGAGCTCAGTGGAGGCCCAGTGTGGACTTGTACTCAACGGGCAAGGAGGTGTGATAAGAAGAGGTAAGAGGTTACAAATACTTGCGTCTATCAGTTTTTGTAAACATGCATCCCTCTCCATTTCTCCCCGTCTTTCCCTCCCCCACTGTTTAGCGTAGTTTGGATTTACTGCCGAAAAAAAGTGGTAATTTGCCGTTTGTCAGAAGCACGTTCGAACCCGCTTAGAGCACTCCACATTTCACAGTCCATTTGCACTTTACAAACGATCTGTTCCTCAGTAGCTCTCAGATACTCCCGCTGAATTCAGAGTTTTCCTGACTCCGTGTAACATTCCCCGTTTAATCGGGATGATCCCTGATAGTTTGAGAAACGTGTTCCCTGGCGCCGGGCTGTTAAATCGGCAGTTTGATCTCGTGTGAGGTAAAGAAGGAGTTTTTTTGGAAATGTGGTTTCAGTAGCGCTACAGACCGGTGTGGAAGTCGCTTTTGAGTGTCACTTCATTTGATAACCATCTGTCAATGTAAATATCGAACATCAAAGTTAGAGGAGAGGTTTGGAACTCGTGYTAAATACGCGTCTCTACAGCATTTGCAAAATCTGAATGTCCCGGGGAGTTTGTTGTTACCGTCATTTACCCTGAAGACAAAAAACGCTGGTCTAAAGGCCTAACGTAGGRACTCATTTTCCTTACAAGCTTAAACACATCCTTTCATTCCCGATTTAACCACRTTACGCAGTCGGGAAGAGGACACTTGGCGACTCAGCCTCCCACAAGGCACATTTCTTGTGCTGTTATCCCCTTTATTCTTTATATCTACCAAGAAAAACATATATTTAGGAGTTATTTGGGGTGACGTGATCCTATTGTGGCAGGGAGCTTCATTCAGCCATCTCTTTCCTAGACAAACTTTTGTCCGACTAAAACAAAATTATTTCTTGCTGGAGCACCAGTCCCGCACGGGTGTGGTGGGCGGGGATGGGGATCCGCTGTCTCCGGGAGGGGATTTTGCGGGGGGATCTGTCCCTGCACCGATTCGGGTCCGATTTTGTCCCGGCGTTGTGAGGAGCGGGCGGAGGTGGCAGTGGGACGGGGAGGCGACAGCGGTGGTGCTGAAGGGACAGCTCCCCTCGGCTCCGCTCCGCTCCGCCCGGCCCCGCCTCGCCGCCGCCGCCAGCCCCGGCCCCGCTCGGGGACAGGGACACGGGGACTCGGGGCGACTCCCAATGTCCTGTCCCCTCCTCGGCACCGCTGCGGAGAGGAGCTTGAAAACTCCTGCCCCGCTGCCTGCGCCCGCCYAAGTCCCCGTCTCTCGGATTTCAGCGTGTTCTAATTATCCCTAGGAAGAAGGATAATTATGCCTTGGAAGAGGGATGATTCTTTCGGGTTTGATCCCAGAGCTGACCTCCGAGAAGCGGAGATCGTTAGCTGAAAGAAAGGCAGGCAGAGTCCCCATCAGCTGGGGTCTGTGYCTGTCGTGTTTGACGGCGGTTCTCATTTCCCAGCTGAAGGGCGGCTCAAAGCTCAGCTCAGCTCAACTCCAGTTTATTCAGCTCCCCAGCTCCTCTTAAGGAGACTCCAATTACCTGTGCAGATGATGGTAGTGGTGTCTCTCTCTTCCYCTCTCTCTCTTCTTAAAGMGATCAAATTATTCAAGGATTTAAAGATTGATACTAAAAGAAATCCAGCATGAAAATGCAAGGTSTTCTGAACCCTGCTTTAAGTGCTGAACTACTCCTGCACTGCTATCTGTTTCTTGGCATATTCAGGGAAGATATCAAAGGCAAGASTATAAGTTTCAAATGTATATTAAAAATACATAATAAATATTTTGTCCGACTTCAAAAAAAGCGATAGGTGTTAGCAGTAATCAAAACATCCTGAGCCTAAGTGCTATACAGTATCCCGTATAAATAAATCACACTCCTTTTCTAGTAATAGATCAATAAGAATATATTAACTCGAGAGTGGCTTCCCTAATATTTTAAACATCTCGTGTCAGACTTTTTATTTTATTTTTTGTCACTAATATATACATATATTTTGTACAAGGTTGCT